CAAATGGTGGTGAAGCCATTTCCTTCAGTGGATGCGATGATGATCAGACCTCAGCTGATACATCTGTAAGTTTTATGAAACCTGATTTGATTAGCATTCTTCATATCTTGATATTGAAAACAAAATGTTGTGATTGAGCTGACAACTTGTATGAAAAGGCTTTATCAAAAATCACTTCAACAGGTGCCATGACCTTTTGTTTTATTCAAGCAATTGAGCGAGGGCATGGGACTACGTATGGTAGCATATTGAGTGCTATGCGTACTGCAATTCGAGATGCCGGAGGCTCAGGGCCGGACCTCGGAGGTGGTGGTGTTACATCTCTTCTCACGATGCTTGTCTCAGGAGGCAGTCTCAGTTCTGGTGGGTTTAGACAGGTATTGTTTTCCATTTCTCAACTGATTTAAATATTTTTAGGCTGCGGACCTTATTTATCTTGAAGGACATTAGTGCATTCTGTTCAGTGGTCACATTGCTCTACATTAAAAAATTAAATATGCTCCTCTTGCACTGTGATCCTTTTTCTCGCACTATTTGTAGTTTGCTGCATCGTGATTTGAATTAGAAGCTCTTGTTATTCAAAAACTCGGGGGTGGGGGTGTTCAATTCATCCATGGACAATGATATGAATTAAAAGCTTTTATTACTGAGAACACAGGAGGTTGGGGGGTTCAATTCATCCGTACACAAAATTATTTGTAATGGAGTAATGAGCCACGATAAGAATAATTCGACTTCTCATCAAGGAAAATTAAATGAAATGGGTAATCGTGGAATATATTGATTTTGTTTGGTATGTATATATTAGGACTAGCACCTTTCTTGCCGATTTTCCTTGCAACTAATGAAAGATTACTGTCTAATTTGTAAATGAAATTAGAAGAAAATGAGAGTTTCTGATGATCTTTTTCACTAACAGGAGCCGCAGCTGACTGCCTGCGAACCATTTGACGTGTATGCAAAGCCATTTTCCTTGTGATATTATTTGGGTGAGGGTTTTTTTTTTTTTTTTTTATCCCCAGATTTGTAATATAATATATTTTGACGCAATAAAATAACATTTCAGAACAAATAAATTGTGATTATATTTATTTATTGCATTTATTTATGATTACCTTTGATAATATAAGTTACGTGTTTGCGTTAAGAAGTATAGTGTGATACAACTTATCTTATATTTTGATCATAAATAACTTGTTTACAACCAAATTATAAGAACTGAAATCTTGTATCGAAAGGCTATAATGTTGATCGATTCACTATTTGAGTTTGTGATTTGTCCTTATTACAATAATAGTTAAAGCTAATGCAAGACACTTGGGGTGTATTGAACGATCACATATCAAGTTTAATTGTATTGTATAACCGTGCTGAGAATTAAATTTCATTTGATCGTTGAATATTTTATCTATATTTCATGACATGATTGTATACATCTTTTCGTGACTTTAATGGTTCTTTGATGATCAATGAGTGAGATCAATTTGATTGGTCAAATATTTTCGATGTGTTGAGAGTTTGAGAATGAGTGGAGTAGAGAACATGAATTCGTATCGAGAATGCCGCCTTAAAAAATGTGTAGAGTTCTTTTAAGTGTTTTTTTATTTTTTTTATGATAAGATTTGAATTTAGTGTTTAGTGACGACTAAACTTCAATATACGTGATTGGTTCACATGATTGTTAAAAATGGTATTTAAGTTATTGAGAATAAATAGAGGGGATTGTAGTCGTAGTAATTATCGAATCTCAGATAGGATACAATACATATGCGGAAGGTGAAAGTCACATAAATTTTTTAGTTTACGTGGTCTTGTATATTCGAAAAATGCAATCTTTTGTTTTTAGTGAAAAAGCGAAAACTCGTAATTAGATTGAATTATTTAGGATCAACTTGATCATATTGGATGCTCTTAAAACAAATCTTTACTTGAGAAAAATAGAACAACAATTTTTCAGAATAAATAATACATAAAATATATAAATATCTCAATTCATTCAAATGACGGTAGAGCAGGCTGCAGTGATGGTGAGAAGACGTTGGATTACAAATCTATAATATATTAAATATCGCATCAAGTGATCTCAATTCATTCAAATGACGGTAGAGCAGGCTGCAGCGATGGTGAGAAGACGTTGGATTGCAAATCTATAATATATTAAATATCGCATCAAGTGAGAATCATTTTTGAAAGATTTTAGCTCTACTACAATTTAATTATTTTTATAATACCTTATTTTTCGTTTTTCAATATATATGTAATTGAATATTAATTATTAAACATGCACGCAAATTAATAATTGAATTGTATGAGAACAATCAAATTGATTCATGAACATAGAATTTAATTAATTTGAATCAATGAATATAGAAAAAGAATAATATATATCAATTTAAACAAATAGGTTGTAAGTGAACCAACATGAAATGTAATTAATTTAAATTAATAGATATAAAAAAAATTGTAATTTATATACATTTAAACAAAGGGGGTGTACATGAACCAACATGAAATTTAATTAATTTGAATCAATGAATATAGAAAAAAAGTAATTTATATACATTTAGACAAATAATGTTATATCATAAATTAAATGAAATATATTGAAATTAAATAAATGTATATGAACTTGAATAATTTATCTACTTCTATAATAATTGAATAACTCCCAAATTTTATGATCGTTAATAATTTATATACTCCTAGAATAATTTATGATAAAATGAATAATTTTGAAAATAAATACGTGTTCATGAACTTGAATAATTTATTTATTCCTAGAATAATTGAATAGCTCCTATAACAAGTGTACATGAAGTTTATGACTTAGTGTTATATTTAATATATTCATAAATAAATGCTAATTAATATATATGCACATACATAAATAATTGAATTATAGTATTTCTAGAGTAACTGAACAGCCCCCAAAACATATAAAGTGTACTTATATGAACTTGAAGAATTAATTGATTGAATTCTAGTAGGATATATATAAATTAATGTTAATTATTATCATATACGTAAATAAATAATTGAATAATATAAAAAGTTCATTTAACATAAACAAATTTTTAACTAATTTTTATATTCACCAATTTTCAAATATCATTTTTACATCGTTTATAAAGCATTTCAAAATAACGTGTAACACACGTTTAGCTGTGACTAGTTTATTTCTAAGTGGACTTCTCAATATTTTCCCATGCTTGCGTTCGGTGCATGAGTTTGTGTCTCGTGCACGTCTCGTGCACACGAAATGCACATTCTCTTTGCTTTTAAATATTGGTTGGTTATGGAAAATTGAGATTTTCTTGTTTTTATCCTAAATTCTGAGCTCAAGCCCTAATTACGAACTCGAAGAATCAATCTTTGTCATGGCTAACGGCTCCATTTCTCTGCACTGAGTATTGTGATGGGAATGATATTCCCAACGAAAGATTTCTCGAAGGAAAGCTTTTCCTACAAATGTCATTAGATGGTATGTGTACACTACTTTCTTCTGGCCAAGCCTGGATGCACGACTTATAACTTGCTTTTCAGCATATAGGTGTTAAGATTTGAGCTTCCATTTTAAAAGATTAACCTTATTAATAAGAGTTAACTCAAACCCTTATATGTTGTCTGTTTTCATCTTTTTTTGATGTAGAATTTATACGTGTTTGTTTTTTTGTTTCTTTGGGAATCATCTCCAGGATAAAGACAGAGCAAGAGTTAAATAAAAAAAAAAAGCAGCTATTCAAATCGCCATGGTACTCTCTATTTAAAATTCCCCCGCTTTAAGAGAAAATAGTTACCAGAGATACCAAAGAAGTTTTGTATCATACCTGAGTCAATATCGGCAAAAGCATCTCTGAACAAGGTTAAGATAGTAGTTCGTTTGAGCAAATTAATCTTGAAATTCGCATGTTCATTTTTTTAATCTTAATCGGATCGAATCGCTCGTTGGAGCTTAATAGGATCTGATGTCATATTAAGATTTGAGATTCCATCTTAAAAGGTTAAACTTATTAAGAGAAATAGTCCAAACTCTTATATGTTAGTCAATATTTTCATCTTATTCGATATGAGATTTATATCTTAACAATAGGTTCCATAGAATATCTATTAGAAATATATTTATGAAACCTCGATTAAGTTTATACCCTCAGAACAACACTTTGTTGAGGCAAACATTATCTTTACTCTACTATGTGGATCAGAATAACTTAATCCAGGTCTGCCTTTGCTTCTGATCTTGCTTTCCTTGCATCGTGAAAACTTTATTTCCATCCACCCAAATGAAAATTCAATCAGTTGGTCTTTTATTAATTCTAGTGGCTGAAAGACTTGTATGTGATGAAATTAGTCAAGCAGTTGATCTTCTTCGAGGCAGGAGGATTTAGGGCCTGATAGCGTGCTATCAAAACGAAGGTTTTATCATTGCGTAGACATAAACATTTTGACGTGCTAATTATGTGCAATTCAAGAATCAGTTCTGAACAGGGCAATATCATAAGAAATTGCACCAGTTTAACATACCATGAAGAAGCAATAAAACCAGACATGGTCGATTCTTTTGTCCAACTTGCTTAAAATTAAAGCCACACAAACTAATAATTCCTAATATGATTGTCTTTTGAACAACTTAAATTAGACAAGCTTAAATGAAGTCGGACATTGTTACAACCACAAAAAAATTCAAATGGCGCGCACCTAAAATTCAATCGCATGGGAGACGCACCAAACCAAAATGTTTCCACAATATTAGTGGATGTAATCCAGGGTTGTATCATTATTTATTTATGAAGAAATGATGATGCAATGCCAATCAAAACAAGGAAACAAAACAAGAATTAGGACATTTAATCTAAGTAAAACCTAGTTGTGATCAAAGTCATTAAAATATCTTTAAAAGGTACCAGAATTCATTTTCTTTGTTCTTAGACGACGACATGGTGCTAATGCTCCAACCAACCACATTCTCTTTTTCTCCTCGAGGATCTTACAGCTTGAGGAATTACTGTGTGACTGACCAGTGGTCTTCTTCCCCTTTTGGCAAGCCATGGGAGCAAAGTGTTCACCTAAACCACGGTTTGTGTTAATTTCCACCACATCCCCGGAACTATGAGAATTCCCTTGTGCCACCCCAAAGTAGTTCTTCCTCTCAGATCTTATCCACTTCGAAACACTTGATTAGAACTCCCTAGTTGCTGCAGCATCATAGTCCTTTCATAGAAAATTGCTGTGCTATATATTGAGAATATTGTTAGATTACTCTCACTAGTCTGAAACTAAAAGATTTTAATTTTCTTGTGATAACATGCATAACCAAAATAAATACAACTAAGTTAACGACATAACAATTATTTTTTTCGCAATGTGCCTACATCAAAAAAAAAAAAAAAATTCTATAATCAACAACAATGGGTACAACATTCTTCGCTAGATACCACTAGAGGCTCATCAAATCATCAATAGTTCTTGGCATACAACTAATAAATCGTCGAAAAAACATTAATAATTTAACCAAGTACAACTATCTCAAGATTAAATTCTTGGAGTACTACTAAAAACCAACGAGGTAAAGAAAAAACACCATATCAAAATTCGCCAGACAAATCAATCGTTAAGGAGTTTAGTGAATTGTTGGATCTTGATCTTAACTGTTTGATTGGACATGGAGCTGAGATATCAGTGTTTTTGAGAGATTGCACCAACTTCTGTGCTTGCACAATTTCTGCACAGTTTCTCCTGGCTTTCTTTGTTATAGAGGCTGAATTCTGTCACTAGCACGTCACCTGCACATCTTTTCTCTGTACATGCCTAATCAAGTTTGGGCAATTGGGCAAATCCAGTCTTTTATCATTTGTTTCTCTCTTCTCTACTAGCATCATCAGTAGGAGTATTTTTTTTCTTTATTATATTTAAGGAGTTCAGTTATTAGGCATGTTTTTCCATGGATCACTATTGCCTCTTACTAGCACGTGGATTAATTTATTTTTCGTTATTACAACCTGAAAGGCCTCTTCTCAATGATCTATGTAAGGCAAGAGTTCCTATCATCTTTCTGTGATCTTCACTCTTTCGTATAGTACATAATGTTACTTGAGGAGCTTGATGGCTCCACTGTATCAGAAGAATCAGAAATAAAAATTGCAAGAAGATGCTCCTTTATTATTTCTAGAGGCTGGATGTACTGGCTAAATATCAGCACTTTTCATTGTTGGCAATACTGAGGCAGAAAAGCTCCATGACAAATCTTGTTTTCACACCTTTATTAGGATGAAATCAAGAGGCCTCCAAAGCATCCTGGTCAATTTCAAACTGTTCTTGTTGGGGATTTTGGCTTCCCCCACAGCCCAAGATCAATCCAAAATGCAGAAAAGAAAAATGGACAGAAAGTCCAGCAAGAAAACTGAATAACAGCAAGAAGAAAACCAGCAGAATGTTACAGCAATAAANATTGACCCTCTTTTCCAACTATATCAGCAATTTCTGGTCTCACTAGGCGCAATGCGTTGCAGAATTTGCCAAAGTTGTTCCAGAAAGGAGTCGCAGAAAAATGATTTTTCTGTCGAGTTTTGGGAGGGTATTGTAAATGCCACTTTGATCATTGCTAGGAGTGCGTCCTTCGTCAAGAATAAATAATTGAGGTTTTTGGAGAAGTATCTTTTTCAGAGTCTCAGACTTTTCATCAATGTTGATTTATCTTTACATTTTTTCTTTCCATATTAAAGAGTCCCATCCTGATAGTTAGGTTTGTTGGAAAATATATTAGGCAAAATAGATTTTCACTCGTGTATGTGAAATTAATCCCACATTGATTGAAAGTTGGGATTTGAAGAGGAGTCTTAAAAGAGATTACAATCCCACATTGGTTAGAAATGAAAAAATGGGAATATATGAGGACTATAAATAGTGCCATCCCACATTAGAAAAGGAAAAGAAATGTGACAATGTGGGAAAACTTAAATAGTTATCCCACATAAGATAAAAATGAGTTTGTGGACCAATTTATATATGGTTAATCATTTGTAAGGTGTAACCATTTGTTGCATAGAGACTCCTCCATGGCCTACGAGTCCGCAGGGGGGTGCAAATCTTGGACCGACTTGGCCTTCGAGCCATGAACTTGTGTGGGCGCGACTTGCGTGCACGAATGTCGGACCGAATGAGCTTTTACGTTTTTCCATTTAAAACATAACTTGAAAACGATTTTCATTTATTTTGTAACTCCAAAACATCGAATTAAAATGGCAGGAGTTATGGCTGTATTAAGAGGCAAATGCTCCTCCTTGCCTATATATGCTGAACAATCTCTTCAGTTCAGACACACCACAACAACTGCACGAATTCTCTCTGCTTCCTGTTCGAATTCTTATCTTCTTCCAGGCACTTGGTGATTCCGTTTCGGTACACTCTTTTAGTTAGGCTGCGCAGTTGCAGTTCGTGCCGCTGTATCCTGGGAAGCAAGCGCTCGAATTACTTCGTTGAGGAGGCGAATATTGCTTTAAGGACACTGTGTTGAAACACAGGCCCCGACTCCAAGACGTCCTTTTATTTTCTGTCCACTACAATTTGTATTTTTTTTGTACTTCTTCTAATTCAGTTAACTGCTTAACAAGTTTGTTACGAGGTTAATAAAATACCTTTGGATCTTCTTCCTCCCTTTCCCCCTTCACAAGCTCTTCTCCAGCCAGCTTTTCAAAAAGTGTATAGCTGATTCCAAGAACACTTGGCCCTTTATCGAGGACTGGCCTTGAAATTTTGGGGCCTTATGCCAACTTCAAATTTTGGCCCCTATGAATATTAAGTCCATATTTGATAGAGATTAAAATTAAATTTTTAGCAGATTTTGATAAAAATTGATGGAATGTGTAGTTGAAAAGTTGTGAATCCTATGAAATGTGTGATTAAAATTAATTATTGACTCTGATTGGAAAACAATTAAATACAATTAAAAGCAATTAAAAATAATCAGGAAAATTGAAAGTTAAAATACAAGATTTAAACTTCATTACAAACATAAGAATGAAAAAAATAATAATAAGTGGATTGGAAAAATCCCAAACTAGATTATATAACATATAGAGGAACATTAGATTAATTAAAGCATTCATCAATACAATGACATTGAAAAATTGGGGAAAAATGGACAAATAAAACAAAATGCAAGAATTTAGAGAGAGATGAATATTAGTGCATTTAGCAATAGCTCCTTGAATAAGTATAAGATCCACCATGAGAGCATTTGAAAAAGTAATGGTTTGAAAAGAGAAAAGTGATATTTTGATTCTTGTGAAAGAAAAAGAAAAGTGATGGTTAGGAAGACAGAGGGTGAAATTAATTATGGGCTCGCTTCGCATGGTTTTTGCTTTATGTAAAATAGCTTTTGGAGGAAGATATTTTAATTTTTGGTTGGAAACTAATTTTTAAAAGTACTTATTATTCCAAAAATGCTTTTAGAGGAAATTACAATGTACCGACTTCCTCTAAAAACTCTTCTAACTATCAGAAATACTTTCATAAAATTAATCAAACGTGTTCAAAATCAATTTTTGGATCTTAAAAACTCCTTTTAACTTTTCAAAAGTCATGCCAAATATGCCATATATATAGAGAAAGTAATGGTTGTGATACATAAATGTATGAGATAAGTTTTATGTCACTTATATGATTTTTTTTAGAGATATTTCAAATTTTATTAGTTTCTTGTGTCAGCATTTGATAATTATAATTTAAAGAATTTCTTAATTATATTTTTCGTTTTTCTTCAATCAGTCAATTAACTTTACATAATTTGGGGTCCTCATCATTGTCATGGCATTTCTCATAGAGAGATGCCTGAGAGCCAAACTCTCGAAAACGTGAGACTGCCTAGGTTACGACATAGTAACTCAACTTCCCATTTCGTGAACTCTTCTTTCCAAGTGAGGAGCATACTGGCTGAAGCAATAACCATAGGTTGGCAGTTTGAAAACAAGTTCAAATAAGTTTCCATGAACAGTTTTTCCAGCTAAATTCTTCCACAAAAACTCAAAGCCTTCTTGCTGATGTTTTTACAGGCATTCTCTGATACCAGATTTAATGTTCCAAACTTTTCCGTGAGCCTACTTTTATTACATGTAAAATTATCCACTTACGATAATAAAGTTCATCAAACATATATAACTTCACGGTCCCAGAAGTTATTATCTTGTCTGGTTCTCAGTATGCTTTCTCCACCTACAGGAGTAGAACAAGAGAGTTTTACAAAAGCAAAATCGTAATTCAATTAATGAGGAGGTTGCAGGACTCATTAAATGAAAATACCTTCCCAGGGATTGGGCATGTTCTAAACTAGCAATTGGACAATACAACCTATAGCACACCCATATTTAAAATATGATACTGAGAATTTATTCGCATATTTATTTGGTCAAATAAAAAAGTTTATTTTGAGCTGCAGCAGCATAACTTCTTCATCACTTTCCCTGAAAATAATCACAACAGAGTGCATGTAGATGAACAAACCGTAGAATTTTCTGCAAGTTGTAAAGCAACATGAGCAAAGAAAAACAAAATATAGTCGAACAAGGATAGAAAAACTTGATCCGACGAGAATCTAAAAGAAACCCAATGAGTTGCACAAAGGCTGCTCACTGGAGAATGGAAGCAACTACAAGTTTAACAAAGTATTGACTAAACCTGGTGTGGAACTATGTGATGGTACATATTATTCCATGTACTGAAAATGACTACAAAGAGGCAATACATAAAGTGCAAAACCCTAGAATACAACCCTAGTAAGGAAAGACTAAATTTACATAAACAAATAAAGTAATTTAACTATTATATCTAACAACATGAAGAATCCAGAGTATCAGAAGAATCAGAGTTGTCCATTACAAAATCTTCTTCATCCACACTATCATATCCACTATCATTAGGAGAAAGCAATTCATCTGATGAATCCAAAATAGTTCTGTCAACTAAATCAGAGTCTGGATGCTTTTTAAGAAATTCCCTCTTCAATTGAATCTGACTTGCAGTAGCCCAAATGAAACTTCAATGAGTTTGTCCTTATTATTTCTAGAGGCTGAAAGTCTTGTATGTGATGAAATTAAGTCAAATAGTTGAGCTTTGGGGTGCGAGGTTGTAGATCATGATAGCAAGGTATCAAAACAAGGTTCTTTAGAAGACAAACATTTTTACGTGCTAATTATATGCAAATTCAAGAAACAATGTGTGAGCGTCGGCCTACATGACATATGCGCATACACACGTGTTTCAAATAGGGGAAGAGAGAGTGGGGGGGAGAGAGCTAGGGAGAAAAGGAATACCCCGAACACTACCCCTTGTTTCCATACTATACATGAACCAATCTTTATTTCAAAAAACCCAGACTCCCAAATTTGTTTTCCACTGCATAAAAATTAAAATTCTTAAGTCAAAACTAACTGGCGACATGGCATTAATTTATTTAAAACCTTAAGATTAAACACACAAATTGTATATGTACTTTATGTCTTGTTTCAGAATCATACATGAACTGATTTTGTTCAAAACAAGGGTCATAATGTTGGCTTGCCAAATATCCGTGTAGAAGGAAGTTGGTATGTCCTGGACTCTTTTCTAGAGAATTTCCATTATCTAAATCCAGTCGCATTAGAAAGGGACATGAGAAACTACACTAGTAAACATGTCATCAAAAATCATTAAAACCAGAAAGCATCGTTTATGTATTCCAACTTGCCTAAAATTAAAGCCTAACTACATCCTAATTTGATAGTCTTTTGAACAACTTAAATTTGACAAGCTTAAATGAAGGCAAACATTGCTACAACCACATAAGAACTGCCAGTGGCATCCAAAATTCAATCATATGGGAGAGCACATGCAATCTCCTACATTAGTTGCACAGTATCATTAGTTACTCGACAAAGAAAAAATGATGCAAATTATGCAATGCCAATCAAAATGAAGAAACAAAGCAACAGTTAGTTCAAATGGCTGCAAAGTAAAAATCAGTTGCAATTCAAGTCATTAAAATATCTTTAAAAGGTACCAGAATTCTTTTTTTTTTTTTTCGGTCTTTGAAGATGCTCCAACCTTCCCCATAGCTTTTCTCATCAGCATCAAACAGCTGGAAGAATTACCTTGTGACTGCCTAACAGTCTTCTTCCCCTTTCGGCAATCAATTGGAGCAAAGCTTCTACCCAAACCATGGTTTGTGTTAATTTCCTCCACGTCCCCGGAGCTATATGAATTCCCCTGTGCAACCCCAAAGTAGATCTTCCTTTTAGATCTTGTCTGCTTTGAGACACTTGATGAGAATTCCCCGGTTTCTGTATCATAATCCTTTGACAGAAAATTACTCTGCTAAATGATAAGTGTATTTTATACACTTATTCGGGACCTAAAATAACGATATTTGATAGTTCTTTTGACAAAATATATTCTAAATTGTTATATTTTATGTTTAATAGGTGAAATTCTACAAATAAAAAAAGAAATTGAAGGAAAGAAGCAAGAGGTGATGAAAAAATGACAAAATCCAAAGTACAAGGACTAACTTGCATTATATGAAAGAATTGAGGATTTAGAAAGTAAACATTAATTAATTGGG